GTGTGTGTGTGTGTGTGTGTGTGTGTGTGTGTGTGTGTGTGTGTGTGCTTCGTTTCACCTTATTGCGTGGTTCCATCCTCCTCCGCTGCTCTTCCGTGAAATTTTCTGCGGCCGAGGTCGAAAGACAAAAGCAAGGCAAACTCGTAAGTAACTTTTAAGAAAGGTTCCAGTTTTGTCCCTAAAATTGTATCGAAACGTATTTAAATATAATCGTAGAAAATGTATTCAAATACACATTAATTGTATCTTAATTGTATTTAAAATATGTTTGTATTTAAAATTGACCTCTGAGAATTTATATATTATGTAGTATTCTCGCACTGAACTTCTCAATTTTAATTATAACTATGTCTAATATTCTCGATTTAAACCGTCAACTCTTATGTAGAGTATCGAACCGCGGTAATAAATCGCGATAGTAGTTATTTGGTGTTCCATCCGCAATCGGATGGAACACCAAATAAATAATCGTGCTCGATCAATTGCCGTTTTGCACAGTCAAGATCGTATTTTACATGCGCAGCGATCGATTGCTCGAAAGACGCTTGGCGAAAGATGTCGGTGGCGTAAAGCTACCAAGACTTACACGTAGGAGCCGCAGGGAGAGAAAGATCTGAAGCAGGGAGACAGGAACAGGGAAAGGGATAAAGAGAGAGGAGAGAAACGGGATAATGTGAGAGTCGCGGTTGTCACGAGAGACGAATCGGTCGGCGGAGAGCTGAAATTACGCGCGCGCCCGCGTAAAACCTCGCAATAATGAGCTTTTAATAGCCGGTCAGGTGCCTGACGAGCGGACGGAGAAGCGACAGCGTATGCTAATGATACGGCTCAATTAGTGGCCATACAAAGTCGAGAGAAAGGGAGAAAGAAGAGAAGGGAATAAAACAAAATCCAGAGAGAGAGAGAGAGAGAGAGAGGGGCAGAGGAAAGCACCGCGCCATGAATCTCGAGACGGATGTGATCTAAAAGCCTCTGATTTAAAGACTGCCCTCGCCAGTAGTCAACAGCACGCACCTTCTGCTTCGGCTTCCCTTTTTTTTTTTCATTCTCCTCGCTGCCCCCTTTAATAAATAGCGTTTCTCGTTCTCTCTTTATGTCTGGCTAATAATAAACCGATGTCTCTCTTTCCGTCTATCCCGGCGCGTCTCTCGTCTCCTTCTCCGCATCTGTAAAATTACAACTTTGGACCCGGACCTCCAGGCCCCGAGGTGCTAATAAAATCCAGTCGCTCGATCGTTCATTTACTCGTTCGTTCGATCTTTTTTTCCGGATCTGACTCGCGCGTGTACAAGGTAGTATACATCGACACGGTATCGCGCGCTTCTTCGAGAGATGAAGACTTTCTTTGCTGATCGTTGGCCTCGTTGCCGCCAGATATATTTCAAGTCCGTCTGACTGTTTTATGAACTTGATAATTTTCAACGTCGAATATTTCACGGTATATAAATTCGACTGATCGCCGTCGCGTGACGGCGCGGCGTCTAAACGTGTAAGTACTACGCGGATTTCACGCGGCAGATAAGGCGCATCAATAATGCAGAGTATTGCAGTGCCTTCTCCTCGCGGAAGGAGAAGAAGCGCTGCGGCGCTACATATATTATGCATTAGGCAAGGGAAGGAGCCGTGGGCGAATGAGCCAAGAAATAGAGAAAGAGAGAGATTTGCCTTGTTTTCGGATGAAAACCACGCCGACAGTTTCGCTAAATTCCGACGTCACCGCACGCTTATGAGAACATTGATTTCTCTATTTCCACCGAGGAGCGCTTTTTTAAAAATGTTTCAGAATATTTTATGCATAACGTTATGTGAGATCGTGTAATATCGAACATTGGGTGAGACGTCAATAATTAAAAACTATTATTATAAAATAAATTATTATAATATAAATAATTTTAAAAATAATAACATTGATGCGAAATGAAGAAAGATTAGTGGCAGAAAACACCTAAAACTTTTAATTTAAATGAAAAAGATAACGCAAACTGCGTATTATAACAAGTATTACTAAAGACCCTGATGAGTTTTCCACGTTCTTTCGTCATGGAAACAATCGAAGCCAAGCGCGGATCGATGTTGCGAATTTCTCTGTCTCTCTCTCTTTTTCCCTCTCACTTCTTTTTTCTCTCTTACACTTTTTCTATTCGTGCGGGATGATCGCACACGGTATCGATTGATCTCTCGTCCATAATTGCCGTGATTGTTGCGCGATCACGTAACTTGATCTACGCGGCAGGATTGATCCATTATTACGTACATACATACACGCGCGTGTCCATATATATGTATGTGTGTGTGTGAGTATGCACGCGCGCGTACGTGTGCATTAGATTTTATTTGCCAAACAACAAAAAATTGATTGCGTCGCGCTACGCGCCAGTCGGGGATCAGTCGTTGCGTGCTTTTGCGGCGAGATTGTGCGATAAAGCGCCGATTGTAAGCTCGTCGGATAATGATAATCGCTCTTTTCCCAACTTGCGCAACGCGGCCTCGATCTGGTCGCTCTAATTTTTCTTTCGATGAGACGGAAAATTTTCTACAAACGCACTTTCATGACTTCGAGGAACTATATAATATGGATTCCATGATTACGTAAAGCGAATTTCCGAAATTAAAAATTGAGGAGAAATCGTGATATTTTTAAACTATCGATATTTTACTCGTCATTCTATGTTATATAATGATACGATAAAAATAAAAAATAAGCGAAAGCGATCTCTCAGAAAAATATAAGAAATTGTAAAGTACAGGCGGGGGCGTATCTGTGCTCCATTTTTTTTTTGATAATGAGGATTATTTTCTACGAACGGTCGGGACACTTTGTGACTTCGAGGAATTCTACGAATAAATTTTCAGACGAGAATCTGTGAATCCATGGATTGTGTTAAAGTGGATAATTCATAAGATCAAAGATCGAAGAGTGATGAATGAGATATATTTTAAACTATCGATATCTTGCTCAATGTTCGACATTACATTTTACGTAACGTGATGAAAATCGAAGATTTGCGGAAGCTCTATTAAAAAAAATATATATATGAGATTAAAAAAAAAAAAAAAACACGCGGGCGTGTCTACGCTCTAACGCACATTTGCTGCTTAGAGAACGGCGTGACTCTAAATAAGGTGATCCGCACCATTAAGGTTCTTAGGAAGAATCTCGCCGAGAACTGCGTCGTCCTTATCCGAAAGGAGCGGCCTCTCCGTGAGATGTTCGTTTTATCGTTAATTACGTGTCGGAGGGGCCTCGGCGTTCCGACAAACCGGTTTCCGGTAAACGGGCAGTCGCGGAAACGGATTTGGCTCATTTGCCAAGCGGACTTTACGCCCGTTTCACGTTACGGTTATACGCGCGGCGGGCAGGCACAGGAAAGGCGTGCGAACGGTCATTTCGCCGGGCGCAAACAGGCAGACTTTAACGATCGGTAATCGGTTTCTCCGGCAGCGCGCGCCGCGCCACCCGGGACGTCCCGGCAAAAAGTTTAATGGCCAGGAAAAAAATCGCATTAACGATCCCACCGCCCGTCGTTGCCGTCGCCTTTTCCTCGCGAAAGGCGCTCGCCGAAGGTCGACCGCGCAAGGCGATGCAAATTGACAAAAAAAAAAAGGAAGGGAACAAGCGAGGGATATGATCCCGGCCGATTCGAAACCGATTTCGGGCGGTGCTCCTCGATATTTTAGAACCGCGACGAGACAAGAAAAGTATGAGAGACTATACCGCGGAGAATTGGAAAAAAAATTCCATGTATTTTATTAAAATTTTCGAAGTATGTACATTCACGTATCCTGGGCATACCTTTTTTTATTTATATGTTTCACAGATTATTAAAAATTATAATTTAAGTACTTACCTTAGACAATTCTTGATCAACGTCCGCCGATCAGCTTCGAAGACTGCTGATACCTATACGTAGACTATAATCGAGATCGACGAAAGAAAGAATCCTAACTAGGGGGATTAAATCGAAATTCTTGGGAAGCTTAGGAATCGTGGATCGGACAATCGATTTCGTTATTCGATTAGGCGGGGAATAATAATAATAAAAAGACACATGGGCGTAGCGTATACAGTTCAATATACATGCCTATATTGACTGCGTGTCTAAGTACATCGAATAAGGAATTCGAATCCCAGGATATTTAGCAATTACAGACGTAAATTAGGTGAGATGATGACTTCTCGCTACGCTGAGCGCGATTGTTGGTCGCGCCTCCACAAAAGAACGCTCGCTATTCGCGCGATACACGCACACAAACGCATCCTCTTTCTCTCTTTCTCTCTCTCTCTCGCCGTATACACCTAGATAACATCAAAATAAATCTATATCTCGCAAATAGCAATAATTCCGATCGAGAGGCTATGTACATGAATGGCGGACTAAAACGCACGCATTCTTCCTTTCTCTCTCTCTCTCTTCCTCATTCTCTCGCATACTCGCTGCCCTTTCTCTCTCTTTTTCTCTCTCTCTCTCGCGCGCGCTCTCTTTCTCTCTTAATAATCGTAAACTAATTACTCCATCATTTACATACATACAGTTATCTTGTAGCGCGTTTTCACGCGCAACTACGTCAAAACGATTTCTTTTGTCGCTTTTGCACAATCGCAAACTCGCGGGACCGAGCGGCTCCGCTGTCTCCACAGGGAAAAATTGCAGAAGTTTAGGCGTATAAGTTTTTACAATCCTGGTCTCACACTCGCTCTCTTGTTTTGGCATTCGCAACCGCTCTCCTCGAGACATTCGCGTCGCTGCGCGTCGTCGTCGCTTCTGTTCCTCGCCCCGTCAGTCTTATTCCACGGGGGGGAAAAGCACAAATCAATTCGGATCGGATCCGATCGATACCGAGACTGAAGAGAAAATATACGCAAATATTATATAAATCAAAATAAAATGAAGATCGAATACTTTGGCTGGCGAGACGTAACGCCTGGAGTGGCTTATTTTCGTGTTGAAAGTTTACGTTTTCCGTAACGAAATTAAAATAGGCATCGGAGATTAATACGTCCTCACCTTTCTGAATGTTTCTAAAAATAGCGCGCGGCAAAATAGTGCGCGATCTTCGAAATAAAAGGAAGTACACGGCACTTTATCTCTTTTCGAGTCACGCTATAAGATCATTAAATGTTCCGTGTTACGTTATGTCTCGCCTATGGCCTCGCTCGTTTACGGTTTCATCCCCTCGGTTGAATCGCCCGTTCCGCAATCGTCTCGCCGTGGCGAAAATCTCGGACATTTGCGCGCGACGCAAACGCCGAGGCGTCGAACGCGCTCGTTATTCGAACGGCGCTTTCGCGAGAATAACGCTGGAGCGCTGTGCAGCGGATTTAACGACCGCGGCGCACTTTTGGACGCGATGCAAATTAAAGGCTTCATTAGCGCCGTCGCAAGAAACGCTGACGTCACGCGCGCGCCGGAGTTATTAGGCGAGAATGCGCATACGCCTTTTCCGTGTACTCGTTTCCGACAGCCGAGCGCAAGTGGTGCGACGGGAGAGAGGGCAGGGGGGAAAAAAAGGAAAAAAAAAGTCAGCCGCGGTTTTCCTCAGCTCTCTGCCTCGAGCGCGAAAATCCAAAGATCGGTAGAATAATAACGGTATATTATCACTTTCGACGGTGCGGTAAAATTCGTCGACCTTGCGGCTGCGCGAAAGGGGTAATTTCGAGTGCCCCTCCTCTGCCAATTAGCATTCCTCTCGATATTAACGCCAATCGCGTTAATTTCCCGCGCGCCTGTGAAAACTCGCCGATCGCGCGCAACCCCGCGATTGCGGATTGCATTATCGCGAAAATTGTGTCATTGCCAATTCTCCCCCTCGTAATAACGTAAATAAATATCGCGCGTTAATTACTTTTGGCTTCGCGTATCGCCACTCTTTTGAGAATCATATTACGCTAATTGAGGAGCACTTTTCGAAATGTACGCGCATTTTCGCCCAGGGACGTATCTCTCTCGAGCTCGCTATGTGCCGCAATGAACAATTTGCAACGTGCGCCCCGAAATAAACGCGACAATTCCTCTCGTATCTTCAATCGCTACTTTGTCAGAAAAATATTAAGTTTCTCGCGTCCGGACTTGAAAAATTTCAATGGCGCGCATCTATCTTAAAAATAATTTTTAAAATCTACGACAATTTTACATCTCCAAAATTATTTCCAATAACGTGCGTCGATTTTACTGACCGAAGAGACCAATCATCCAGATACGTGCTATAAGGGTACACGACTTGATCGTAGAGCTATGTAAGGAAGATTTCCGCGGTAGACGACGATCGCAGCTGCGCACCGGCGCGATTTCCGGTTTCGCACACGCGCGCTTCACAAGATACACTTCTATTTACAAAGATAAAGAACATCGGATCTTTACCATGGTCTCCACATGCCCTCCTCATCCTTGACCGGCTGCTGGCCGACTGGCGACGGGGAAGGCATGCCGACGGCGACCTCGCTGTCCGCGTGACTAGACGGTCTATCTTCGTGGACGATGGGACCGCCGGTCTCGGTCGGTAGACGGGCCTGCTGCTGGTGTTGCTGCTGCTGCCGCAGATGATGGTGGTGATCGACGACGCCGGAGTGCGTCGAGTTTCTCGAGCTGGCGGTCTTCATCTTCTTGGACGTGGTGGTGAAGTCGAGCGGCTGCTCCGGCTGTTCCATCCGCGGGCTCTTGCTTGGCTTCAGGCCACCGGTAGGATCTTGCCACTCCTGGCCGATGTCCTCGTGCGGTCGCTTCGCCAGCTTATCGGTTGCCTTGAGCAGCGACATGTTGGTCGCCGCCCAGATCGCCGTTGGTGGATTCGGCCCGATGCTGATGCCGTTCGCCGCGGCTGCCGCCGCCAGTTGCACGTAGTGGCTCGGCAGCAGGAAGACCACTTGGCCGTCCGGCAATCGGGAGGGTATCACCTGCACCACGGAGAGCATATTGGGATTCTGCTGCGACGTGGACGCCTGATCGACCGGCAGGCCCGACGGATGATGCGGATGGTGCGGGTCCAACGTCGCCGGGTTCACCTGACTGAAGGCGGAGGTCGGCCGGCTGCTGTTGTTGTTCTCGTCGCCGGCGGTGGTGCTGCTGTCCGGCCGTGCCGCCTCCACCATCTCCGGGATCTCGGATTTGATCAGGCCGGCTGGCGTGAGCGCGGCGCTGCAATGCGGCCCGACCGGCACGTGGTGGTCCAGCGGGCCCGGGCTCGTCGTTCCCGCCACGCGATCCGTCACGCTGCCCGGGCTGCTGCCCAGGCCGCTGTCCGGCCGCGAGCCCAGGTCCAGGTCGAGCTCCGACACGCAGCTGTCGAGGTGGCGAAGCAGCCGCTGCTTCACCGCCGGGTCCATCGGCGTGGTGTTGCCCGTGATGATGTCTGGCGCATCGAGATAGCGACTCACCTGAAACACGACAACGACACCAACGATGTAGATGCCGGTCCATATCGGTAAACGCGCGCGCCTCGTGCGGTTGAATAATGCTCGCGATCATTAGAATTTCATGCAAACGCACGCGAGCGGTCACGAAACCGAGACATTGAGCGGCGCCCAGGAACTGACGTCGTTCAAAAGGGAACGATCGAGCTTCTCGCGACAGCCAATCTGCGAACAATACCACGAGTGGTGGAGGGACGATTTTTGCGAGCGGGTAGCGCCAGCGATGAACAAACATTTGCGCGAGTCAACGCCGGGAAAATATATTGTGCGCGCTGGAAATTCCGCTCTCGACCACGGGCGCGGGATCGCGCGCGTCAGTCATTATCGACCGCCAGACGTAATTGAATATTTCGCTCTTTAATCCGCACGGTACGGTCGAGTAACGGGCGCCGCGTGATTATTTGTTGCCCGGTACCCGCGGTACCCCTCCCAAGCTGCGCGCGACCTGGACGGACCCCCGCGCGCTGGCCCGTAATTTATTTTCGTACGTGTCGGCGATAACAACCGGCGCGATAAAACGCTCTTTAACCCGTTGGTCGAGTGGAGCTGCGACGACGCAACTGCGCGAACTTTTCGCGGCCAGTTATTATCGCCGCGAATCACTAATTAACGCGCGCTTAGAGCGGCCCGCTGATTAACGTGCTGCGCGCGGAAGATAATCAGGCGGGATTTTATAATAATGCACCGGCGGGGTTCGATATTTCGAGATAATTAAAGAGGAAGATTGAATTGCGCATTAGACGAAATTTTGCCGCAAGAATTTAAGATAACCCGTGTGTGCGAGGGCGTATCTTCGACGAATTCGGATAGAGTTTTCTCAACGCCAACGGATATGTCTTCGCATTTTTATTCGAAAGTCGGGAAGAAATTTGAGAAATCGTAACGTGGATCTGTGGAATTTCAAAAACTGGGAAATAATATCCGTGAATTATATCGCATTTTAATCGATGTACGGTGCGCGCGAAAAACGATGAATCGTCGAAAAAGTCAGTAGCGCGCGACCGTTACGACACGAGGTCGCGGTAGACCGGAAGAGGGCCGAATTGCGAGTGGAAGCGGCGGCGATTCGGGCGGAAGCGGCGCGATTGATCTCTAATCGCGTAGCGTATCGCGCGCTATATTTCACACGGCGGCGTATCGAGCGCGCGTTGCTTCGCCGGCGAAACTATCGTCGCCGTTGCCGCCGCGCCGCCGCTGGCGGCGGACAATAATTCTGCGGCGAGCCGCGAACGCGCGCGAGAGAGCTTTTATGGGTCGCTGCTTCAAAATAAAGCAACCGAATCCCGCCGCTACCACCGCCGCCTCCCGCTGGAAAGAGACGACTTCGGGGAGAAAGATCGCGTATCGAGCAGATATCCGCGAATGTGGGTTAATCGCACACGTCAGCAATTAGGAGAAACGAAATTCGCACTTTCGATCTTATTATGCATGTGTATGTTTCTAAAGGGTCATAAATTAACCCTCCGTCTGTATACGCGGGTCTACGGCGTCCAAATCAAAATGACATCTGCTCGTAACTGCAAAACTGGCGAACCTGCCAGAAAATATTAAATAAGCGATGGTTATCAAACTGACTTCAAATTCGTCAACTACAATGTAGATAGACGTACGTTTTGTGATTTTTTTTCAGATTTTTCTGAATACTTTAAAGTAGGGAAAAATAGCGTCAAATGTGAGACCCCCACAGAGAATGCAAATAAACTGTATAAGTACAAACGGAGAATTAATCTAATATCAAAGAAAAGATGATAACGATCGATACTCTTTAATGTACGTAACTACTATATTTTAAGAATCGGTTTCTTTACAGAATATTTATATGTGTTCCACGTAAAAGAGAAATCATCTCTATGCGTGGGTGGTTTTTGACCTGGTTTTCGCGTATCTCTCCCTCTCAAAGTGAATCGTGCCGTTCTTGTATTTCAGGAATATATACATATATACATACACACGCGATCCTCAGACCCTTTGACAAATTCGTAGTCTGTCTCAAAGAAAATTCGACGACAATTCATCGAGCGTGTCTGGGCCAACTTTTAGCTTCAGAATTAAAATTCCGTTAAAGTAAGATCCGCTTCGAAGAAACCGAAGAGTTTATTATATATGATTGCAGATGCGCTTTAGAATTCCTCGGGGAACCCATTAACCCTAGAATCCATGATACATTTTTTTGACCTTCTAATCCATGACTGGGGGCAATATCGACCCCACGCTTTATTTGATCGTAAAACCGGTCCTACAGAAATAAAGGGCCTTTAAACCTACATGAATTTCTTCGTTTTTTAATAACGAAGAGAATGGTATACGGTAAATTTAATTTTACTCAAGTTTAGTTAGTGAAAAATCCATTTAAAGACTGAAAAACGCAGAAAATCAGCAAAAACCTCTTTTTTTAAACAAAAATTTGTATCTTTTTTTGTAATCAACCGATTTTAAAATTTCAAACGGGGTTTTAAAGAGGACACATTAGACTATTAGAAAAAAATTGTCATCGCTATGTTCTGTTCAAAAAGTATATTTATTTGGGACTATAAAGATGAAGAAATTCGCAAAGTTGAAATACGGAAAAAGTCGATGAAAAAACCATAAAAAATTGTATTTTAAGTATTATTTCATTTTTATTTGATACAAAATAGTAAAAAATATGAAAAAAATGAAACATTATATCGCCCAGCCATTTTCTGCGAAATGTCAATCTTCTTAGGCAACGGGATTTTTACCGACTAAATTGTGTGATATTTCGTCTTAAATAATATTTATGACTATTTATGCTCAGATTACGTAATAATACATGATATATATTGATTCTAGCGAAAAAATAAAATTAGCTTACCGTGACGAAACTCAAACGGCAAGTCACGACTGGGGTCGATATCGACCCCACGCCCGCTTTACGACTGTGCTACTTCACTGCTAGCGAACAACTAACGCTGCGCCCGACATAACCCTACTTTTAGAAAGTTGAAATGAATTATGGTTCAGGTCCTGAGTCGATAATGTCACTCGCTAGCTCAGGAGCGTAGTTCAAAGTTCGCCTGGGGTCGAAATCGACCCCAGTCATGGATTCTAGGGTTAATTTTCATGCGCATGCCGATCTCCCGGAGTTTCCGGAAAACGTCGATGTTTCGAGGTTTCGCCGCGCCCGTTTCCCGTTTTACTTTTCGACATTGAGAGAGGCAGGAACGAACGACGAATAGCGCGTTTCGCGCTCGCAGAGACGAGCAGAAATGTTACAATACTTTCGACGGGCGAAACGAGATCCCGAGGGGAGGATGGGAAGGACCGCGGGCAATGGCAGGACATGTCGCCTTGGTCGACCGTCGGTTTTATAAGACCATAAAGTTTGCCCCGCAGGGACACTCGCTCCTTCGTTCTCACTCTCCGTCTTTTCTTTCTTTTCTTCTTTCTTTCCTACCTTGCCTCGTATATCACACGCGCCGTGATTTCGCCCGGGCGGCGTTCAACTCGTCACCCGAAATTTCAGACATGCTCTCTCGACTCTCCGAAACACAGGGAGCGTCGCGAAATTTGATCCCCCCCTCCCCTCCTACCCGGATCTATTCAGCAATTGAAATTAAAAGATTTTACATTCTGAGAGAGGAGTTTCCCAACCCGGGAATCTCCGCACGAAGTTGGTGAATTGACTCCAGGCTTGTTTTTGCATACAGACTATTTAATGAACGAAAGCGCGAAAATATAATAAATAGAAGACATAATTTTGAATATATTAAGTTTTGAGTTTCGTGTTACATATGCTCTGTATTAAATAACAATTTTCTTATTAATATACGAGGGCTCATCGAAAACTTTCGGGGCTATATTATTCTAAACTTGATGCCGCGCGTGGTGACACTGGAACAAAACTACCTTCATATATCAATAATCTAATGCATACCAATTCTTTTTACCGCGCTCCAAAACGACTGGAGAACGTGTAACGGCCAATTTTGTGACATCCTCTTTAAGAAACGGCCGCGGCTTCTCCTCTTTATCAATGGGAGACTTCTTTTCACGTAAGTTTCTCGAGATTTGAAAGTGATCAAGAATGATAAGCGACTAAGTGAGAACTGTAAGCAAGTCCGACGTTGCTATTCCGATTTATTCTATTGTCGCAAGAATGGAAAGTACTACTGCCGCGCTTTTCCTTAAAGAGGATGTCACGGAATTCGCGTTGTATGTTTTTAAGCTCCCGGGGCTGCTGCCTGTCCAACTGCACAATTGATTCAGCATTTCGAAAGTCTCTTAATTACTTTTCTCAAGTTTGACGTGAAATTCCGATAGCGCGCTTTTATCGCGCAATTAAAGAAATATCTACCCGTGCCGTATCCTAGCTAGAGTACATATCAAATTATAGAACGTGAGAACGTTTACGTAGAACGCTACTGGTCCATATCGGTGTGTGTACGCAGAAGACCTTGGCCTTGGATGGCTGTCATCGTTGCGTTGCGCAGTTGCGCGCGGAATAATACACGTGTAATGCAATCTCAGAATTCTTCAATCAGCACTCGTATGTGTGTGCCCATGTGTACCATATATATGAAACATTTATTTGATAAAATAATTATCCGCGTGTACGGGGTAAATACGATTTTGTAAGAGTTGCGATAAAATTTGAAAAGCAATTTCGTAAGAATTAAAATAACAGCTATATATTACAGTGATTACTCTTCGACGTAAGACCGCAGAAGATTAAAACTCCTCGAGTATACGTCCTGCTCTCACACGCGTGATTTTTCAACGAGAATAACTCCCCAATTTGTGTGTTCTCCCTTTGACGCATAGTTACTCCTAGCACGCGCGCCTCGTGTGGGCTGCATCTTTCCAGCGGTGATATCCTAGCGCCGGGAAGTCGGCGACTTTATCGGTGAGCATTCTGATAAGGCGGTCGCACGACAGGTACAGCGCGCACGGCCGGGCTTTGTATCGTGACAAGTGCGCTTTGTCGAGGCGAGCGAGCCGACAATCGACTCGACGCGACGCCTCGAGTTCTGCGGCACGTTTGTGCCGCGCCGTACCGATGAAGATATACGACGTATTATATGCTGCGGCGCGACGTATCGCGCCCCGTACCGCCTAGACAAGGCCAAAGTTCGGAAAAAAAATTTGTTCCGAGCAACAGATTTTTCTAGGGATACCCCGTAAGTTGGATTATTGCATAATACTGTAATTATTTAATACAATGCATTGCGAAAGACATAAGTTGTGCAATGGCTCATGAACAATAAAATGCTACGGTTTTGATAAATAAATGTTAAATTTATACGTAACAATAGGTTTCTGTAAAATTGTAATGCTTCTCTCTTTAACCGTACGATATTTTCGGTAAAAATTTTTCCATTTTTGGCATTTGCTATATGCAGAGATTGATTTTGGTCACACAATTCCACTTTGCGCCCGGGTCTTCGCGCGCAGAAACCGAAAACTAAAGGCTCTTTCCCTCCCCCTCTTCCCCGATCGGGCGACTACCTGACTCGACCAGGAGATCCGACCACAAGGTTTCATCCGGCAAATTCTGGGCGATGGGCACTTACGGGGTGTCCGCTTTCAACGAGTTTCCCCTGATTTCGCGACTGGACGTTCCTTAACGAACGAGCGATTGAGCTTCGCTGGAGTCACGCGAGACTCCCCGGCGACAACCCGATACGTTAGATACCTATCGTCGTCGTGGAGATAGAACGGGCGCGGGGAAAGGAGGGGACGGAGGGCAGGGTGGTTTTGGGTGGGTTCTTCTTCCACCGGGTAGAAATCCCTCTCCGCCGTGTAACACGAACCAGTTCCGCCGAGTTCTCCGATTACACGCTCCTCGGTGTACGCCGGGGACGCGTTGGAATTTTTTCACCACCCTCTCCCACCGCTCCCTCATCCCCGTCCGCGTTCCTTTCCCGTGCTAACCCGTGACGAAACGTGCGGAGTATAATGGTAAACGTGACGCAAAACTCGCGTTTTTCCGCATCGTAGTCGGCCTCGCCGATGTGGTCCTCGTTTTATTTTCTCGAAGGTATACGGGCGTATCGATCGGGATTTTAAAACGAGAAAGATATGTTCTTTTAAAGCAAATTTTCTCTTTCACATTAGTAAAACTAAAATTTCAACGGCTGTGATAATTCATAAAAGTTGTAACATTTTCCCCTTCGTGGATTATTAAAAATATAATATCGCGTCGCGCTCTCCTAAGGTATAAAAGTGTCCCTTACCTCTCTGGAGCAGTCCTGGTATCCTGCCTTGTACCTGGACAGACCGGGCTGAGCGAGCGATCTCTGCCGCTGCAGATGCCTGACCGTAAGCTCCAAGATATCGGCTTTCTCGAGCTTGCTGTGCTTGGTGTTCTCCAGGCGGGCGCTGTCAAGGATGAGCGCCTTCAGCGCCGCCAAGGACTGGTTGATCCTTGCTCGTCGTCGTTTTTCCATTAGTGGTTTGTTAGCCTGAAAAAGAGAGGGCAAGAAAACGATCTTTAATACGTCTATCAACAACGTGACCGGTAATACGCGGATTAGAACACACAACAATTATCCGTCGGACATTCGCATGATCCGAAGTACGCGTCGCTATTCCAGAGATTATAAGTATGTTTTTGATGTTCTTTATGTTAAAAAAAAAGTAGTAATAACTTGAAACAGCTTTCATCCGAGCTCCTAGCGCGCGAACGTTCGCGGTTTAACGACAGTAGGTCAACGTGTTGCCTGGATGGAACACGCTCCTCTATCCTAGCCGGAGTACACTATTTCTTTTTTTTGCGCGCGCGCTTCGCGGAAGAGGTGATTTACGAGGAGCCGCCGGCGATGAGCGTGACGAGCGAGCGGGCGAAACAACGGCGGGAGAATGACACGGACCATTCGAGAGAGAAGAGAGAGAGAGACAGAGAGAGAGAGAAAGGCAAACGCGTCGAGTGCCGAGGTCCGGACAAAACTATCGAGGAGTATCAACCTATTTCGCGCGCTTCCGCGTCTCTCTTTTTCCCTTAGCTGGTGATCCAGGGTGCGCGCGGAGCCCGGGTGGTCGATTTTACGGGGACACTACCGGTTCTAGATCGAGCGTAAGCAGGTTTTAAGTCCGGATAAGGTATACGAGAGCCCGACTTCTCGTTTTCCTCCTCCGTTTCTTTTAGTCGACTTCCATCCCTTCAGGAACGCGGTACTACCCTTTCGCGCGTTCTCGCCTCGTTTCCCATTTCAGTCTCCAGGAAAGTTCAAACGTAGCTGTGGAGGCAACGATGGATGTCACATCATCCGAGCCTGAAATATCGAAGTTCTTGCCGTTGTAGGAAGAAACGGGAGGTACGGCCTCTCTCGCAGGCCGGTTCTTTACGAGCGTCTCAACGTTCCGAATAATCTTCCACTTCTTTTTTGTGGCTCTTTCGAGTCTCTCGACTCACTGGCGGTGTGCCGACGTCGGTCGCGTCGCTCACTGAGAGAGACGTGGGTCGAGGAGGGAGGGGGGCAATCTCCGACGACGCGAGATGCGCGACAGTCGTAGATGAGCGGAGATAGAGCCGGATAAAGTGGATCAGACTGAAACGGATGACGGAGGAGGTTGAAGGCGCACACGCACCGGGTGTCTCGGAAGCTCACGTCAGCGGCAAATTTACTTCTCGCGCAGGTGCTACGCGTGATAATTTTGCCGGACGCACTAATCGTTAATCTATCGAGACGAGGAACGTGGAGTGTGGAGTAGAGGCGAGAGCGAGATCGCGAAGCGACGTTTAGAGGAGAAAGGAGATACGGAAAGGGAGACGCAGGAACACAAAAAGCAAAACGCCGACGTTCCACGTGGGAAGAGGATAGCGTGCGAAATGGCGAGGCCGGACCGGCAAAGGCACGTCCGCCGCCGAGGCGGGAGACGACAGATATTCACGGCGTGGAACGAGAGAAGACTGCGTGCCAGAGAGAAGAGAGAGAAAGAGAAAGAGAGACGGCGAGGTCGTCGGATGAAAAGAAGACAGCGGGTATCCCCCTGTGAGAGACGAAGGTAGCGAGCTACAGAGCGCCACGCGGAGAGAGAAAGAGAGATGAGAGACACGGCGATAGATACGGGGCGGACGAGAGAGCGACGGAGATGGAAGTCGCGAGCAGAAGCGACGCGCGGAACGACGAAGACGGGCAAAGTCGGGCTCTAACGAGAAAGGGGAAGGGGGGAGAATTGCGACTACCGCGCGCGAGAGAGCGACGGAGAGACGGTCGGCGAGAGGGATAAGAGGCGAGGACGCGTGCGGAGCGAGCGGGGCACCGCAGATACGTCGAGGGCGACGAAGAGTAAACCGAGAAGGTGGGATCGAGGGAGGAGGTCGGGGAGGGAGGAGAAGAGGAGGAGGACGACGAGGCGAAGTCGGCGCGGTGCGTTCACACGGGAGCGCCGCGACGGGTAAACAAACGAGCGAGCCGCCGCGCGGTCATGCGTATTCGTGTGCGTGCGTACGTGGTCCGCGCGCGCGCGTGTACGTGTGTGTGTGCGTGTGCACGCGCGTGTCATCGCCGCCGACCGGCACGGCACTCTTGCTCTGTCGCGTCCTTCTATTATTACGAGAGGCGCGCATGAAGGGCGGGCGATGGACGCGCGGAGGGAGAAGGGGGAAGACGCGCGTCTGTCGACGATGGACTCTCGAGCGGGCCTCGATCGCTCATCTAGAAGCCTAGATGTATTTCTCTTTGTATGTGTGTGTGTACGTGTGCATGCGTGCCTGCGGGTGAAACGGGAGAGGAATTTTGTAATAGAGGCGTTTAAATTACGCCTCGGCGATTCGGAGGCTGAAACTGGGTTAGTCGTGGACCATTTGCTCCCTCTTCCTTTTCCTTTCGCTTCGATTCGCACTCCTTGAACGAAAGCCGACGACGCTCGCAATCGGTAGAAGATTTAAAAGGTATCGTTGGCGCTTGAAGAATCTATTCTTTCGATAAAAAAAATTCTCGCTAATAAAAGACTGACAAATATTTTAATCGTTGGAAGAAGCGCGAATTATCAGTAACGTCGAGTTTCGCCCTCTTCGCTTTATCATTGTTTTTTTTTTTAGAACGTTAATTACTGCTCGTCGCAGACCTTTCTTTCAAAGAAAAGGAATTTTTCCGCTTCAATTCCACCGCTCCTCCGATAGCCACCGAAAAATTGTAACCCCTAAGATAATTCCCGCGCACTATCGTGACGCTCTTTCAGTTGGCGTGACTTAGAAAGATAGGCGCGCGCGGAAAAAGAGAAGGGAGATAAAGGGGAGACAAGCTGCGAGCGAGGCGCGGCGCGGCGCGGCGTGACGGCGTGACTTTGACGGTGCCGCCGATTAGCGCGTTACGCGCGATAAATCACATTCTCGTTGTTTGCGACTTCGCGTCACGTACGGCGACAGCATTGTGAATCAGCATCGACGTGCGAACCTCGCCGGAATTTTTTTTTTCAACCAGACTGTTTTAACACCAGTCATCGCTAACAGTGGGTCGGTCACGGCCATTTTTTTGGTGCATTGTGCACATCGAAGCTAAGGCCATACGATTCATAGATGCTAACGCTTTTTAAATACAGACTTATAGCAAATTGGTTTCATATGCAACACGTGAGGATTGAACAGCGTTATTTTTAGCAAGAATTAATCTATGTTAATCGCAAATCTCAACACCGCCAAAAAATATTGAGGCTGACGCTTAATAGTGTTCCTAATTAATACAAATTTATTCGACAGTTTTATTTTTATTTTTCATTATTGATGCATAGATGTTTCATAAAGAGCGTTAAAATTATTTCGCTACTTTGGAATCGTTTTTAAAAGACAGGGTTAAAGTTTTTTCTTTCAAGGAAATTCGGTAAGCTCAAGTCGCTTCTTTTTGAATTCTGGAGACGTAATCGTCGCATGTCCGTCCATTGCATTGTCATATTCGGGCACGTCGTCGCCTTCGCTTCGCATATGATAAATCGATTAAAATGCGCGAACCAGCGGCAACGAGCGACAGGTAATTAAGCCAGGCATAACGACGATCCGTTAAGTGCCGTCAATTAAGCCGTCGCCCGACGACGACCGGCGTCCACCGCGTTTCCTCCTTCCTCTTTCGTTCTTTTCCTCCTTTCCCTTCTCCTCTCCCATCAGTTTCGAAATCCTGCGAGGCTTTATTGACCTCGGTGGATCAACAGCGTCCTTTTGAAATTCCTTTAACCGCCCGCTCCGATAACGCGATAAAAATTACGAATTTCTTATCACGAGAAGAGAGAGAGGAAGTTTTCTGAATGAACCTAGGAAATTCTCTCACGTTTATATAAAAGCCATTGTTCAATCCTCGGACCTCGCACTTCGATCTACTAGGCGCTCCAACTAATGTCTTTAAGTATAGTTCGATTACAAGATTTAAAAGTGTTGGTGGAATCTTTTGTATTTTCATTCATAGCATCGCTATCCGTGAGGTTAATTATTTTGCTTCCTTTCCCGGTTGTTTATCCGGACTACATGAATGAGCGAAGGAAAATTCCTCAACGCAAGAGAAAAGATAAATCGAAAACAAGACGCGACAGAGTAGGAAGTTAACATTAAAATGTTATAATTTATATTATTCGCCTTTGTGTGTGTTTGAGATGAAGCGGATTAAGATGTAAAATATATCTTGTAGCCAAAAATTAAAAAAGAAATATACAACTACACTACATACAAGAATAATATATATCCATAAAAATCAATTATTGACATGTAATCTATCATAATTTCTTATTTAATATGCGTACAATTTGTCTCCTTTTAATTTTTTGTCATATCGTCCATTTAAAACGAAAAAACTCCGAGATTTCAGATTGTAAAAAAAAGTTTTGGTTACAAAAAAAGATCGTGTTAAAAAGTTTTTCACCTAAAATTCCTGCGTTATTAAGCACGCATTCGCGACGCGCGTGTCTTCCGCCGCGAATCCACTCCGCTAATAAAGACGAGTGCACGAAGTTACGCCCTTTCGTCACCGTGGAAACTTTCCTAATAGGATACCGCCGCTCGCGCTCCAGGCGCGCTCGAGCGAACGTACTCTCACACGCAACGTGGATCGCCTTAAAAGGGCACCTCCTAGCCGCATTTGACGCACGTGTACACCGCGGGATTCACGCGCGAGTACTCTCGGTACACGGAATTTCGCGGAGCGAGCGCGAAACCGTGAAATCGCGCGTTAATCTCCGATTATTTTTATTTAAGAATTCATGAATATATTTCGGTGAATATTCCGTGCAATTTGAGCAAGGAGCGCGGGAGTTAAAGTTATCCAAATGTTACGTCGTAGTTGCAGATGAAAAATTCTATACGCGCGGCAAATACAGCGTGGTCTTTAGATGACGCGTGATCCCGCCACATTTCCGAACCGGCGAATTAATTGGATAAACTGAATTACAGTTACTTTTTTTTTGAACGGCGCCGACCACGCGGGCGGGGGCGTCCGGACGATCTGTATGATAACCGCTCGTAAATACGTCCAATTACTGCAAATTGGCGTCACAAGGCTCTCCGACACGCATCGTTCGTCGTTCGTGCCGCGACGTGCCCTTGCGACCTGCTGCGTTTTGCCGCACGGCAAGGAGAAACAAGGAAATTCATTTGTCACGTGCTCTCCTAACTACAATTTCGCCATATAATTCGAGAAGGATTGAGAGAACGATTGCTATATACTTTTAGATTTGTTATCTCGACGTAGACAATGTCAATTATGCAAAGAATTATGCCACCAAGTGCGACGACGATACGATCTGTTCTAACGTGTCGAATTTTATCTCCGCTGACGGTACATTTTAATCTCGCCTGTGTCGGCACGCGTATCTCGCCGCTTAATAGCTCAACGGTTCGTGTATGTAGCGCGTTTCGCTGCGATTTTAACGGCGCGCCCACGTGGGGAGCGATATCAGTTTTATGCCTCGCGCGGCGTATCTATTGCCACCGCAACCGCGCGCGCTTTTTATTTTTTTATTTTTTTTACGATCCGGAAACGAGCGAAGGTCGGACCTTCGAAATCCGCGGTCCTGCAGATTCTGTCGCGTTGCAAAACTGACACACTTCGCAGAGATTAGAGAGAGGATAACAGAGTTGTTAGAAGTAACGCCGAGCTGGCGCTCCTTTTTGCCGCAAGTTTTTAATCGCCAACTTTTCCTGGAGTCATGCTGAACGCCGCGACTCGCAAGTCGCAACGTTGTCTCTTCCTTTAGATTCTTTATAATTCGACGTATAAAAAATACAAAAAGTATCTTGGAAACTTGATCTATTTTTGTAATATAAATCCAATATTATATTAAATATAATTTATTTGATATTTTCTTTGCAAAATATTAAATAGGGGTAAAAAAGAAAACTTTCAGCTAAAGTAAAAAGTATTATAATACGTAGATATGCATTTGGTAAATCAAATTAAAGCTAAGAGGAAAAGTGAGAGTTAATTTTCCAGAGAAATAGTCCATCTACTTTTTTCGCAACAATGCATTTCATGTTTATCTAACGCGAATATTGTACTGCCGTGCTTTCCGTATATTTGGAGGCCCAACTGACAAATCAGCGAATTCTCACATATAGGGTTTGGACGACAAGCGGTTGTGTAAACGACGCACGTGTCCAGTATCGGGTTCGCGTCACAACAGCGAACTCACCATCGCAGATTAAGTGCGCAGGAGGTAGAAATCGGGAGGTAGGGTGAGTTGCGTTCTGGGACGCGTGGTCGCGTGCGCTGCGCTGCAAGGGGTGAGTGTCGCACCCCCGCACGTTCGACTTCTCCTTTTTCTTTTATTCTTAAAATCTGTGATTAAATGATCTTTACGTGCTTGCGCTGCAATTTCCATTCTAAATTCTACTCTCACTCGCACCCCACCCACACGTCTACATACATTTTCCCTAATTAATTTCAGGAACATTAACGCTAATATTTGAGATCCTATAATATGTATGAGGAAATAATATCCTTTCTTAAAAATTTGTTACTCGGTTTCAGAGGTTGA